GAGCAGGGACACATTGACTACATGGGAAAATATTCTTTTGACAATATCCAAAAGAAACTGGATAGATTTCTACAGTAAATTTAATATTTTTATTTTTATTTTTTGAAATAATTGCAAAATGAGCCTTTTTTTCTCATTATTTATTTGTGCAGTGACGTTTGGTTGTATGAATATTCCCATTAAACAGATTGAAATATGAATTGTAGCATACGAGTAAGAAATATCCAGTGTAATAATCCCATATTGAGCAAAATCTGGCTTTGTCTTTTTGGTTTTCCATTTCCATTACAAATCTTGACTTTGTGCCCAGAATTTTGTAATTTGCTTTGCTTTCTCTTCAGTGTGATCACTGAAAAGTATTTATTTTTAAATAGACTTCTCTTATTTAAGTGCTTTTCATATTTGTTTGATGTCAGAAAAACTTGTATGATATAAAGCAACAAATTTACGTTCCTCCCATACCAGCCGAAAGGACCACTGTAGGCACCCAGACCACTTAAGCTCAATGAAGTGGTCTGGGTGCCAGGTCCATCTTGGTTTTAACACTGCAGCTGAAAACATAGGGGCTTCAGAGAAACTGCAATGTTTACACTGCAGGATTAATCCAGCTTCTAGTGGCTGTCTTCCTTACAGACACTAGAGGCCGCTTCCGCGATTTACACGGAGTAAATCACTTATTTGACGCTGGATGGTCTCACGGAGTCCAGCGTCAAGAAAGATCCCCACAGGAAAGCACTGAGTAATGCTTTCCTTTGGGCGGGTTTGAATGCCTCTGGCCAAGCATGCACATTCAGCTCCACTCGAGAGCTGACGTCGATGGAGGAGAGGTCACCGGTGCCGAGTGAGCCCGGCGCTGGATTAAGGTAAGCAAATAAATGGTTAACCATTTATTCGCCGTGGAAGGTGCCCTAATCACCTAAATGGCAACTAGGGCTCTATAGCTTTAGGAATACATATGTTAGTAATAACATATTCCTAACACTAGTGTTCCTTTAAGACGACGTACAAGAACTTTGTAGAATTACTTTTGTTTACATACATACTGAAGCATAACCAGGTTTGCTGTTTTATATTGGTTTCGCTTTGATTAAAACATTTTTACAGATATATTTTTATAATTCACCTTAGTCGGTGAGTTACTCAGTACTGATACTGTAACTTAAGTGTCTGTGATGTAACTATATCCTGTTTAAAGTGCCTTAGTTCTGGGTTGTCTTTTTAAAGGAACACTATAGTCACCAAAACAAATTTAGCTTAATGAAGCAGTTTTGGTGTATGGATCACGCCTATGAAGTTTCACTACTCTATTCACTGCCATTTAGAAGTTAAATCACTTTTGGTTCTGTCCATGCATCCATAGCCACACCTCCCCAGCTGTGACTCTCACAGCCTGGATGGAAAAAAAAATAGTTTCACTTTCAATCAGATGTAACTTACTTTGAACGTTTGTATATTCTGCTCCCTAAATTCAACTTTTTAATCACATACAGGAGGCTCTTGGAAGGTCTAGCAAGCTATTAACAGTGCAGTGGATAAAAGTTTTTTTTAAATTAAACATAATTTGCGAGAAAGGAAGTATAAACATTAGCTGACTCTTTACAGGAAGTATTTAGGAAGGCTGTACAAGTCACATGCAGAGAAGTGTGACTATGGTACATAAAGTGATTGAACTCCTAAACTGCAGAGAATTGAGCTGTGAGACTGCAGGTGCATGATATATACACCAAAATGGTTACATTAAGCTAAAGTTGTTTTGGTGACTATAGTCTCCCTTTAAATCTACGGTGGGTATAGACATACACTTTTCTAATTGAGGCTTAACATTTTTGACACTGTGGTTGCAATTTAGGTGCTATCTAAATCCATAGATTATATACAGAGAATTCTTTACATATTCTAACTAGTCCTTGAAGGTCAAACTTCCCAAAATTGAAAATGGGACTGAGTGTGGTGGCTTTTATTTGCCACCACTGTACTTCATATCCTTTCCCAATAGTATAACGATATGTGACTTTTGTAGCACCTATTTTATTTATTTTTTAAAAACAATCAGGGCTATTCGCCAACGTGAGAATTGTCTGCTCTTAAATTTCAAATTTAATTTGAATTTCAAAGTAGCAGAACCGGACATTGTCTTTTCGTTTGTAGTTTGAATTTCAAATTTAAGGCCGAAATAGCCACTTTTTGAAATTCTTTTTGAATTCATTCTTTTTACTGTTTAACCCTGAATGTTCTTTACAACTTACATACAGAGGTACTAATATGGAGTGCAAAAAAACAGAAAGTGAGTTACTAATAGAGGTGTATAGATAAGTTTGGAGCTTATATGGTGAACCTCACTGCACCACTAAAAAAAGATAAACATACACTTATACAAAGTATAAGAAAAGGACAAGCTCCACACTTTACAAAGATAAATACCACCTGGTTATATAAATAGCATATCTAGAAAAAAACAAAAAACTGTACATAGTGTTATACAGTTAAACAAGAGGGGCAAAATAGGGAGAGGGAAGGGGGGAGTGAGAAAACTCACAAGACATCGGTAAATCTAAGTTTGTCTCCCCAAAACCATTAAAATCTTAGAACAGTGTTGTCAAACTCTGGTCCTCCAGATTTAATCAGACCACGATTTCCATAATTCTCTGCTACGCTGTCTGATTCAAGGAATTTTGGCATCTGACATCTGAGGGGTGGAGTTTGACAGCCCTCTTTTAGAACTTGGATGTTCGATGTGACTCAACTCTTCTTTTTTTCCCTTTATTGCATAAAGCATGAATCACAATATGCAAAAATAATTTACAATTATTTGAGGAGGGGAGGGAGGCAATAAATGTTCATCAGAACTGTAAACTAACCAACTCGTTACACCAAGCGAATGTTGGTGCTTGCTGTGTCCCTTTAAATAGATTAAAAAGGATTATATGCAAACTCCTTAAAGCAATGGTCATGGATGTAGTATGACTTGGAAGCAGTAGGATTGGTATTAAGGTGGAACTAAACGTCATACCCTGTAGTATAAAACTTACTGGAAAATCAAATATAGGAAAAAAGCTTGGTACAGTTTTTTTTGTTTTTGTTTTTTGACTACTGGTTTTAGTAAAGCCAAAATATCAATGAGGTGCACATTAAACTAACATTGTAAGATTACAATACTTTGGAAGTTCCCCCACCCCCCTTCTGTATGGCCTTAAATTATTTACAATTTAAGTGGATGGATATTGTGTTATTAAACTTACAGCTATGAAAGGTTTTTAAAAAAACAAGCAAAAAAACCCGTCATCACATAACTGATTTCTACAGCAATGTCCCTCGGCGGTGGGACCTAATGCACATTTGTGGTGAGTGGCGCACACATTAGACCTTCTCCATAAGAAGGCAGTCAATCAATGTTTTTCTATGGGGTTTTGCTTGATGCTGGATGTCCTCATGCAAATCATGTGGAAATGCAGCATTGTTTCATGCAATCAAACTTCATGAAAGTGCAAGAAGCACCTATAGTGGCTGTTTTGTAGACAGCCACTGGAGGTAGTCTTAGTCCTGCAATGTTTTACATTGCAGGACTAAGGTGTGCAGGCACACAGCACCTAGACCATTTCAATGAGATGAAGTGGTCTGGTCGACATTAGTATCTTTAATATGGGTAGTTGGCAAGGTCCAAATTGTCATTCATTTTTGTATTTTCCCATTGTATTTGTTATTCAAATGTTTAATGTTAAACTTTGACAGTTTTCTTTTCTAAAATTGATAGAATGTAATTCAATATATTCTATTTACTAACCTCTATCCATATAGACATGTAGGTTGACAAATCTAAACAAAACAGGCTTGTGCAAAATGTTTTGTGTTTTTTTTGTTTTTGTTTTTTTTTCATGCAACACACATTCTAGAGATTACCAGATGTGCAACCCCTGGCTGGAACAATGTTTACTACATATGGTCTATGAAACCACAGCTTGAACATTTTGTCTACTTCTAAGAAAGTATTGTCAGATGCCTTAGTACCTTTTTTTTTTTTTTCTTTTTTGTTAATGCACTTAAGGTGCCTCCTTCCCTAACTTGTTTTTTTTTTTACCTTTTAACCTACTACACTACCTCATACTAATTGGTAAAGGTCTGCTTCCAATCCTACATAGAATTAGGTAGAAGTACTTGCTTGTAGTGTTTGTTGTTTTTTTTTTTTTCTCTCCTTTCTGAACAACCTGTTCTATTTAGTTTGAGGATCTGACAGCATGTGTTTTTTATTGTTTTTTTTTGTTAGTGTGGAAGCGCTTTTCATTAAATCATATTTAACTACCCTTTGAGCATGGTTATGAATTAGAAAATGCGGCAGAAAACATGCGCCCGCATCCTTAATGAATAGTTCTCATCATTCAAAATGGGAAGAGTAAAAACGTTGTACTTTGGGCAAAGTAGGTCCTCTGCTTAATTGCAAGTTAAACGTTAATCAGAAATCCACCAATAGCTCATTTTTAACAATGTAAGCTTTTTTTATTTTTTGTGCTGAAATATATATATATATATATATATATATATATATATATATATATATATATATATATATATATATATATATATATATATATATATATATATATATAAGATGATAGCTTGGCACTCTCCTTAAAGCAGATAATCCATATATTACTTGCCTGGGTGCAGATCTTAAGCGTCAGTAATATAAAAATAAAGAATTCAAGATGCACTCACAGGTCTTCAAAAATAAGGAAAAAACTGGTGTTTTATTAATCCATACGTGATATACAACGAAAATCAATCGACGTTTCGACCCTGCCGGGTCTTTTTCTTTTTTCTTGAAAAAGACCGGTAGGGTCGAAACGTCGATTGATTTTCGTTGTATATCACGTATGGATTAATAAAACACCAGTTTTTTTCCTTATTTTTGAAGACCTGTGAGTGCATCTTGAATTTTATATATATATATATATATATATATATATATATATATATATATATATATATATATATATATATATATATATATATATATATATATATATATACATACCATGCCTTTTAAGATTTTGGCAATGACTGTGAAATGCTAATTTCACAGTAAATTGGAACTTTAATTTTATAAAAGGAGAAGAAAAAAAGTCAAGCTAGATTATTAAAGAAAATAGAACCGGCTAGAGTGGACTAATTTTTGATTTAGCAATAATTTGTGAAACATCAATTTTCTGAAGTATTTATACATATGTGTTCTATGCTACTCCAAGAGAAAATACCGTAAGTTGCAGACTTAAGAAAATCTCTTATTGGACAATTGACGAAAAAAGAAATTGTCTTTTTTGACTATTGTTTATGCATCATTAAATACAAAAATAAATAAAAATTAAACTCTACAGTTGTCGCTATATTGATTTGATAATTATGTATGTTTTTGTGTTCTGTAAATGTTGTAATTTATATCTGGTAGAGCTGCACAGTTTGCATCCAATTTCTCTGCAATGGAGACCAAAATTTTATACAACATGCATATTAAGGAGAAGTACGCACACAAAAATAACTTTTAAATGCACCTGACAGTATGGCAAGTGGAACATATAC